GCCACCTTCTCTTCCTCCTTTTAAAAAATGTTTACATAATGTTTTTCAATCCTATTATTTTCAACTCATCTACATCTTTATAATAAAGTTATTATATTAGAAAAAATAAAGGTAGATGCCTACTTCACACCAACAAAAACAATTATTTGCAAAAGGAGAAAAGTGCTACGTTTACATATATATCAGGTAAAATTAATTTTATCAAGATTCAAAATACAGACTTTTCATCTATTATATACTAATAATAATCATAGATGCTAACTCAATTCAGAGAAAAATGGTTAAACATTTTGACTTTTGTAGGTACAAGAAATTTTAAAAATTAAAGTATTTTTGTTGTAGGTGTTTATAATGAGCAAAAAATTTTAAAGCTTATATATTTTTTACTTTGGGATAAAATTCTTTGAGGGAAATGTAATGATATTATGAGAATAAGAAAGAATAAAATAAAATTTCTGTTAAAACAAGTTTATATATATTCATATGTACATAAAAGCTTTTCTATATAAAAAGCTTATATGTATATATCTACATTATATTAAAAACTTGTTTATTTTTTAATGATTAAAGGTAAAAAATTACTATAATATTTAAATTCCATTGGATAGCTAGAGCTCAGTAATTTTTAATGTTATTATATACTAAATTCTAAAAAATTATACCCTTTTTCATCATATATAAATATATAATGAAAATTTTGGATGTCAATTTAAAATTTTGAAAACAATGGACTTTTCTATCCTCTGCTATACTATTTATAGTACTATAAATGTTTTATAAATATTTTTTCCTTTTTTGAGAATGCAGGTAATTGAGAGTAAAGACCATGTTTCCTAATCTTTTAACCAAATAGCTGCTAGTTTATAATAGGAGCTTAGTTAAGATAAACTGAATTAAATTATTTTTATTTTCATTAAAAGGAGTTATTCATTCTTTTTCAACTCTTCATAGCCTTAAGTTAGGTTTTTTTTTTTTTTTTACTACCGATAGCAAAACAACTACCAAATGGAACTAAATTTTGGGCTTAAAAAATAGTTCACATTTTATCCCTGAAATGAGAATAAGGAAAATACTGCAAGAAAGAAACAAATAGTAAACCAATATCAATTTTAAATAATATAGTTATTTTCAGCCAGGTGTAGTGGCACATATCTTAGTTCAAAGCCAGCCTCAGCAACCAGGAGGCGCTAAGCAACTCAGTGAGACCCTGTCTCTAAAAAAAAAAAAAAAAATAGGACTGGGGATGTGGCTTAGTGGTTGAGTGTCCCTGGGTTCAATCCCCAGCACCACCTCCCCCCCCCCATATATATATATCTGAATAAAACACGTTTATTGACCCAAAACAGTAGTGTTTCATAATCCTTTTTAAAACACACCATGAACTGGGGTTGTGGCTCAGAGGTAGAGGCTCACCTAACATGTGTGAGATACAGGGTTCAATCCTCAGCATCACATAAAGTAAAATATAACTAAAAAATGAATATTAAAAAACCCACACCAAATTGTGTTCAGAGTGGTTGGCAAATAAACTTTTTCTCCTTGGGTTTCTAATGTAGAATTTTAATGAAAAAATTACACACACACACACACATACACAATACATACACACACTACACACACACACACATATATTTTAGCTTTCTACACTGCAACTCTGCTTAAGACACTGTAAGCACAAATGTTGCCTAACATTGTTTTATTTGTTGCATACATAATAATTAAGTAGCAATAAGGAATAGTTTATGCATATATGCTGGTTTACATGTCAATAGCACTTTTACAATTTTTGAGAATCATCAACAGGTTTAGTCTTTTCTTGTGATCACAGTAGTATTAAATTTCATTTAACTGTGATATACAACATTTTGTTTTGTGTTTAATATTATCCAGAGAAATAATATTACATATATACTGCTTAGAAATAACATAACTTAGACAAAAGCAAATGTTAAAATAAAAACTCTTAAAGCCCTACTAGGAAATGTTAAGTTTAGGTTTAGAAATTAGAAAGATGAATATCACCCCTGGTTCTTACCATTCTTTTATTTTGAAATTATTCAAGTAAGAAAATATTATCTTTAACTTATAAAACTCCTTTTAGTCAAAAGAAAAATTTTAACTCTCATATATGATAACCCTTTATCCTAACAGTATTTCTGTGAATACTAAATCTAGGTAACACTTATTGAGCACCTCCTTTAATCCAGGCACTGTGCTTAGCACTTGATATTTAATTCTCATGGCAATTCTCTGAGGTAGGTAACATCACTGTGCCCACCTTCCACGAGCCTGGTTCATGGAAGGCAATAGACACAGATGGGACACTAATACCCTGGTCTTCCTGAATTCGCCCTTAGGATGCAAATCTTTGAGATGGAGGAACTGGACCATGTCTGATTGTATCTTAGCGTTCACTGCAGTGTGATAGTGTAGAGGAAAGCAGGGAGTAGGAAGTTAGACAGCCTAGTCCTGGGTGCAAGAAGTAGACACAGCCAGTGAATGGATAGACCAGAAAGTGTGATCATGCTTCACAGAAGCTAAGAGAAAAGTTGCATTTGTAAGGAACTTAGAACATAAAATACCTTCCATAAAAATAATACTTGGATCTTATAAAAAAAGATACTCGTAAATGTTCAAATTCACATCTCATTTTCCTGGGGCTAAATCTAGATATCACCTGTTTTATTATTTACTATGGAGTATACCGTGAAGACCTAGGGATTTTTATTACATTAAGCTGGTTTTTGGGTCCTCCTATAAAGTTTTATTAGCGGCCTATTTCCCCTTAATATTTATTATTGGTGGATTCTGTATCCTTAGATTAAAAATATGTTTTCTCTAAATTGTGTCTCTATTGATCATATACAGGTATTTTTCCTTGTCATTATTTTCTAAACAACATAGTATAATAACTGGATATGTAGTATTTACATTGTCTTTTAAGTAATTTAGAGATGATTTAAAGTTTATTAAGAGGATGTGTGTAGGTTTTATTCAGATACTACACCATTTTATCCAAAGGATCTGAGCATCTGCAGATTGTGGTATCTGCAGGTGTGGGATGGAGTTTGGGAACCAGTCCCTCATGGATACAAGGTACAATAATATCTGCCAGGAAACAATTATGGAAAGAAAACACAGTTAGGTATTTCTATGGCAGAAAACTTCAGAATCTGAATATCTGTTTTTTTGTGTGTCAGTCAAAATAACTAATTAGAACTTAAAAGTAGTCTTTGTAATTGTTTTTTTTTTAAACCTTTTACTGCTTTATTCTCTTAGTAAATGAAATCAGGAATCATGATTTGATATAAATCACATCCATCCCCTATAAAGATACTAAACTCCTTTATCATTGCAATTTTGAATTTTCCAAAGGCCATCAGCAACCTGAAGTAGAAGACAGAAGCCACCAATGAACCATTTTCCTGCTCTTGCCCTATTCAGAGTCTCTGCATTTTTGTTCAGAGTCCAGCTCATTTTGACTGCTTCCTAAAGTCCTAAGTGAAAATAGTTTCTTTTTCTTTTTCTTTTTTTCCCTCAAATTGGCCCAAAAGGAAAAAAATTGAAGTGAGAAGAAATAATTTCATCTTGTTTGAATTGCCAGGTTACATACATGTGAACAACTTTCATCAAAGGGGAAGTAATAGAACAACAACAAAAAAAAAAAAAAAAGAAAGAAAGAAAAATATTCAATGGGTTTCTTTCTCTCTCAAGTACTTTATAAAAAGTGCTTTTCTTCAATGCACATTAAAGTGAACATAAAGAGATTATTCAGTATCCCACTTTATGGGGAAAACAGTTTGGAGGTACTTTAGTTCCCACAAACTCTTTAGTATCCATCAGAAGTGTGCTTCCATAATTGTAAAATTCACTGTAAGCTGAAGTTTGTTTAATCATTGTTCCTTTTCAATTTGCCAAAAAGGTCAAAGCACTCAGAACCGTGCCTGCACATTTGTAGCATACAACACAGAGCAGTAGAATAGGGTAGATGGGATCTGTTAATTATTCAGACAAAGAAGGAAAAGTCAAATGGGATGATTGTCCTATGTTAGGGAACTCATTGTTTCCAAGAAAATTAAATAGGGAATTTGATCAAATCTGAAACTGAAAATTCATGAAGTTTCAGAAGCCCACCCTTAGGAAGTTTTCAACTTATTTCGAGACATACTAATTCAGAAAATATTTTTTAAAAGAGCGATCCTCTCCTAGATTTTCCTAAGTAAGGTTGATCCAACTTATTAGAGATATGAGAGATACATAAAATGCCTGACTCGTGATTGAGAGTATTTTATAACAGCTCAAACAACCAGGCTATACTCAATTTAAAAGTAAAACAAAAGAATTGAACCTGCAAGAAATTAACATGGTTTTGAAATAGATGTTAATAATAACTGATAATCCAGGGTATATAACCAGTTAAAATTTTTTGAATGTTCAACTTTGCAAAAAACCATTTGGTCATCAGAGGAACTAAAATGATTTTTTTCTGAGTACTAAATTAAGCTTTTTCTTTATAAACATATTTTAATGAACCCAAAATATCCCACATGAAAATACAGAAAAAAATAGTATTTTAAGCAAAATAGAAGTTCAAATACACAAGAAAGAAGCTGAGTGAGAGAAATGAAAGTTAATTTAACATAAATCATACTTCCACTACCTGTAACTCCCTTAGAATGAGATTAGTAAGAAAATTCCAGTTTAATCAGATTTAAATATAAAAATGTCAGTTGTATCCTTGGTCTCCTAGTCCTGTGCTTCGTGAAGCAATAATATCATACCTTAAAAGCCTTTCAATTTTAAGGAAGCATTATTATATAAAAAAATAGGGGTCAGAAGATTAGGACATACTTGCTTTTGACAGTAGCAAAATGAGCTACCCTTTTTGGTTTACTTAATTACAGAGTTTTCCCATTAAAAATATATTCTTTAAATTATAAAAATACTTTCTGTGGTAATATTTGTTGACACATTTCTGATCAGAGCCTACCAAACTCTAAAAAAATAAAGCATACTTGAAGATGTAGATACAAAATTCTCAAGGAGTCACTTAAAAACAGTTTCCTTCCTGTTCATATAAAAAAGCAGTCATCTTTATGCAGTCTCTGTAGCTCCAAGGAATTCCATTTCTACAGCCGCTTTTGGCCTTGGGGCTGAACCACTCTTCTTTCGAAATTCGGCAGCGATTTCCTCAAAAGACTTTCCCTTGGTTTCTGGAACTTTAAAAAACGTAAACACTATAAAGGCCAGGACCACCCCAGCAAAGAGGAAAAACACATAAGGTCCACAGAAGTCCTGGATGAAGAACAAACACAGAGCTCCAATTAGCAGCGGTTTGACCCGTCTCCTGCTCGGTAAATTTGCACCGCATCAGGCTACTTACCGCAATGTACTGGAAACACAGAGCTACAAGGAAATTGCAGAACCAGTTGCTGAATGCAGCTAGTGCTAAAGCGGTGGGGCGTGGTCCTTGACTGAAAAACTCGGCCACCATGAACCAGGGGATGGGGCCTGGTCCAATTTCAAAGAAACTGACAAAGAGGAAGATGGCCGTCATGCTCACGTAACTCATCCAAGCAAACTTATCCTGAAGAAAAAAGCAAAACAAGAACAAAAGTGGGGCTGGGCTCACTGGCTGCTGTTTCCTTTAGCTAAGTGACTAAGGTGGACACAGCTCTCTTCCTAATGTGTTTATGTTCTGTTGAGTACAAAATATTCTAGTCTCAGACTATTCTAGTCTGAGACTAGAATATTTTTGTCTGGATAGTCCTTATATTAAGGCAAATCATGTAGATTTAGAGTTTTTGTTTTGTTTTTTGGTACACAGCATTGAACCCAGGTGCCCTTAATCTCTGAGCCACACCTCCAGCCCTTTTTATTTTTTAAAATTTTGAGATAGGGTATTGTTAAGTTGCTAGGGCCTCACTAAATTGCCGAGGCTGGCTTTGAACTTGCAATTCTCCTGCCTCAGACTCCCGAGTGCAGGCGTGTGCCACTGCACTGGCTGGATTAGATTTTTTTAAAAAATATTTTTTAGTTGTAGATGGACACAATGCATTTATTTATTTATCTTTATGTGTTGCTAAGGATCAAACCCAGGGTCTCACACATGCTAGGTGAGTGCTCTACCACTGAGCCACAACCCCAGCCCCTGGATTAGATTTTTTATTTGATCCTTATTTGCTCTTTCCTATGAAAGATCAAATATCCTTTGCTCCTAATTATACCAAAGTAGCTAGGCAAGGTGTATTTTTCTTGTGAAGTGGTGGATGAGGACCCTGAGTTGGGAGAGGTTCAAATACTCACCAGAGAGGCACAGGCAGCCATGTGCAGAGCTAGAATTTGAATCTCATTGGAGCTGACTCTAAAGCCTATGCCCTAACCACATGACTACACTACCTCCCTGGAAAACAAGTGTAAGTGACACACTGATATTTAGTCTAAAGTGAAGAAATGAGTTCCCCATTTAGTCTTCTTATATTATGTGCTGTCCCTCTGGCTTTATTCCATAAACCATTCTGAAATGTTTTTGACATTGGAAGCACTTTAGCCTGGAACACAGAGATGTTATTTTATGATAACCAAACATCTATCCAGACACCAAAACTCACCAGAAGAACAAGTCCCAGTGACATGAAGATGGTACAGAAAAACATCCCACTCATTCCAATTAGAAACAGAGAGCGCCGCCCTGCCTTCTCCACAAGCAATACCTAGGAAAGTTTTGGAAAATATTATCTTAGTTTTGTGAGTCACAAAATCTTGCCTTTAAATCAACTTTATTGCAAAAGAGGTCATTTTAATTTATACAGTAGGGGAGGAGGCAGTGTTGTTATTACATTTTATAGATGTGAGACTGAGGCAGGGAGGGACTCTGGCCTCAGGTGGCAGAATTGACTCAGTGAACAGGGATAATTAACAGATATCTGTTTAATTTGTTTATATTGATTTAAATAGGCCATTCTAGAGATAGAACCATAGTGTTACCACCTCTCTAGGATTATCCCCTTGAGTACAAGAGTCAGAGGCTGTACAGCTTGCATCTCTCCCAAAAGATTACCTGTACATTTAAAATGTGAAAGATCTACATTAAAAAGTGACATTAATTTCTCTCCTGGTGATTAAGTTACTGTTGCAAATGAAACAGGACAGCTGCTCGGGTATCAACTTTTCCATCCAGCTTTCTCACTGCTTAATAAAGTCAAATTATGACCACTCACCTGGCAACATACAGAATTTGATCATTGTACCAAAATAGACAGGTCTGCATTTTTCTGGTGCACTTAAATGTACCTGGTATTAGAAGTGAACTATGCATTTAAAGAGAGAAAAATTTAAGGCAAAGGGTTAGAGTGCTTTTCTATTCTAATTGAGAAAATATGTCACTGATTCCTTTGAGTCTGGGTACCTTTGCATTAATGGTTAAGATTTACAATGAACCAAGACCAACATTTGTTGAATATGCTCTTGCCTCCATGATCCATGGAATACTACCAAAGCTGGTAACATGCACACTCACTCACACACAAACACACCTGTCACAATTTCTCATCTTGGTGAGTAAATCAGTTAGTTTCATCATTCTATCAATAAATTAATAGCAATACAAAATGCTTAGTATGGCGAGCTCTAGCTCTGAAAGTACCTGAGAAGCATTTCTTTTTTTTCACCTACAGTGAAAACCCTTTTCATCTAAGAGACACATGCATGTCAGAACTTCAAATCACTTCAGATATGATGATAAGCAAAGGGCCCACATTTAAGTATTAAGGAAGAAGTAGAAAAACAAACCTTTCTCAAATTCATCAAATATCAGTATACATTTTGATTCTTTAATTCTGACTTTCAAAGCTGTCTTGATGATGCCATGTCAAGATACTGGGAAAAATAGAAACATTTCTTCAGGAATAAGGGCTCTTACTATATGTTTCTTCTGTTTCTAAAACAATGTGTATTTACTGGATAATAAACCCTAAAACTGTATGTCCTGAAAATTGAGTTGGACTGTCTCCTTGAGACTGGGTATTCTCTCAGGGATGCCTGTGACAAGGGTGAGACATGGCCAGTAGCTGGAGACATCTGTCCCACCTAACATTCATCTTTGCCAGACTCTGTGCATCATTCACATCCCAGGTGGTACCTAGTTAGAGTTTGGTAGCCACTCCTGATGCCCCAGACCCACCCTGCTTCCCAGTTCCCTCCGCATTTCTTCCTAATTTGTTTTCTCTCTCAAGATTATAGGCTCCCTTCTACCAGCTCATTAGCATGAAAGAAAACATGGAATATGGAACATAGTTCATTTTGTTATTGGGAAAATCTCTTTTTCCCAAACACTAATTCAGAAGAAAACAGATTGATTATGTTGCTTCCAAGCTGGTGAAATATTACTATATTATCAATAATATATTATCCCATTTATTTGAAAAGAATGCACAGGACTTGGTAGCATTGGTTAATTCTGGGAAGAGAAACTGGGTGACTAAGTTACCCTTCTTTTTGTACTATTGAACTTTAAAATGACTTTTCAAAACAAATATAATTAAAATTTTAAAATGTTACCTGTAGGCTTGGAGAGTTAATGAAATGATTTGAACTGATTTTTTTTAATAATGTCACTTATCTGCTCAAAATTTTTACAGAATAAAAGGATGAGCTCCAGAAGTTATGTTCAAAATAATTAAGAAACTATTATAAATACAATGACTCCTCCCACACCAATGAGATTGGGTGCAAAGTGCAAAAATAAAATTTTAAGGAATGTTTCTCTCAACATCAGCCTGCACGGGACCCAGGCTCACAGTAGGACCGGGTCCATCCTGTCACTGGCAGACACCCGATGGAGCCCAGCCTCCAGCACAGGACCACACCTTCCAACCAGCAGACTAACACAGGAGATCAGGCCCAGACCAGATCTGCCCTCACGGACTGACTTGACTTGCCGGGCAAGTCAGAGTTCTTCCCCACCACCACCACCTGGGAGCCCAAGCCTAACTCACTTTCATCTTGGGACACTGCAGTCATCGCCATAGACTACCCCATGCAGTAGCCCCCACCTTTTCCACAACAGAAAGGTCCTAGACACAGCTGCGCCTCAGAGCAGGCATCCCAAAGAGAGTGTAAGGCAGACCCTTTCAGCCCCATCTCTGTAAGTCATTGCGTCATCTTGGGGCACCTCCACTATTATCTTGAGTTACTTTGGCTATTGCTGCCACCACCTTTAGTTGCAGTAGCATACGCTGAGGGATACCAACAGGGTCTGGAAGCCCAACATCAAAGTGAGGTACAGACAATATGCACAGATACTACAAGAATATAGAGTAGAAACTGTAAAATCTCAAATCCACACTGCAAGAAAGGAAGACACATAGACAATACGAAAAAACAAGGGAGGAAAGTTCCCCAACAAACCAGGATACTACAATAACAGAACCCATGGACAGAGAAGTTGATGAAATGTCAGAGAAGGAATCCAGAAAGTTCATAATTAAAATGATCTGTGAATTAAAGAATGACCTAAATGAGCAAGTACAGTCAAAAATTGATCACACCAACAAAGAGATAAGAGAGCAAATACAGGTAGCAAAAGATTACTTCAAGAAAGAGTTAGAAACCCTGAAAAAATACCAGTCAGAAATACTTGAAATGAAGGTTACAATAAACCAAATAAAAAACTCAATAGAAAGCATAACCAACAGACTAGATCACTTGGAAGAAAGAATGTCAGATAACGAAGACAAAGTATACAATCTGGAAAATAAAGTTGATCACACAGTGAAGATAGTAAGAAATCATGAACAGAACATCCAAGAATTATGGGACAGCATCAGAAGATAAATCTAAGAGTTATTGGGATAGAGGAAGGCACAGAGTTTCAAACCAAAGGAATGCACAATCTCTTCAATGAGATAATAGCAGAAAATTCCCCACGCATGAAGAATGAATTGGAAAACCTAATACAAGAGGCTTACAGAACACCAAATGTACAAAATTACAACCTACACCATAATGAAAACGCCTAGCATACAGAATAAGGATAGATTCTTAAAAGCCACAAGAGAGAGGAATCAGATCACATATGGGGGAGATCAATTTGTATCTCAGCAGATTTTTCTACCCAGACCCTCAAAACCAGGAGATCATGGAACAACATATAGCTCTTGAAATAAAATGGATGCCAACCAAAAATCTTTTTTTTTTTTGAATTTTGAGATTTCTCATTTGAAGATAATCTTAGTGCTATTAAATTCACAAATACGCTAATTTAAATACCCAATCCTATTTATCTAAAACACACATTTCAAACATACAAATATCTATTCTCTCCACATGTCAGCGCCCATTCATATCATGGTTTGGAAATGGGGAGAATAGATTCCCCTTAAACTGCAAGTCAGCAGGTGTTTCTTTACAGTTAACTTTAGCAAAATTCATACAAAATAGTAATTAACAATGATCTTTACTGTTAACTCACAAGGAAACACCTTCAAAACTGCATTTTGTTAAAGTTTCTGTACTAAAATGTAGAAAAACTGAACTACACAAATATTGAAAAGTTAAAAATTCCTTAATTTTTTATTCCTGGTACCACTACCACAATTTACAGGGCAATATACCTGATGTAATGAAAAGAAAAAGAAAAAAGACAAAGCTACAACAGATAAAAGACCTCAGGAATGTACATCTAATTGACACTACATTGCATTAATCAATAGCTGCACTTTTTGCAAACTGTGGCTATGACAGTCCTGAACAAGAAGGGTTTCCTGTTTAAGCTGCAGTAACTTTTCTGACTATGGATCATCATTCCTTCTGTGGCAGATTTTTACAGTTCCTCTAATGCATTTGGGACGACTGTCTCAAAGTAACCTGCAGCTTTCCTGACAACTCCTCGCTCTCTCTCCTACTAAGAACTGTAGCCCTTTTCTGCTGTTTTTAAAACCTTCTGCTACCATATCCACCACTTCCACCACCAGATCCATAACCACCACCATAGGGACTGCCAGAGCTTCTTCCACCAAAACTGCCCCCCTTCATGGGTCCATAATTTGATTGCTGTTGTCCACTGTAATTTCCAAAGTCATTATAGTTCCCACCACCACCATAGTTACCACCACCAAAATTTCCTCCTTCATTGTAACCATCATATCCTCCTCTACCACCATATCCACCACCTTGGTTTCCATATCCTGGTCCACCACCACCATAACCTCCTCTACTACTATAACCAGGACCACCACCATAGTTGCCACCATCACCTCCAAATCCATTATATCCACCATCACCTCCTCCATAACTACCTCTGCTGCCACCACCTCCACCACCATAGCCTCCTCTTCCACCAAAGTTTCCACCACGGCCAAAGTTACCTCCACCACCTCCAAAGTTTCCTCCACGACCCATAAAGTTGCCAGATCCACCTCCACGACCTCTTTGTGATCCAGCAGACTGCATCTCTTGTTTAGAAAGGGCCTTTTTCACTTCACAATTATGCCCATTAATAGTGTGGTATTTCTGAACAACAATTTTGTCAACTGTATCATGATCATCAAAAGTTACAAAAGCAAATCCTCTCTTTTTCCCACTCTGTCTGTCTTCCATAACTTCTATGGTTTCAATCTTGCCATACTTTTCAAAGTAACCTCTCAAATTATATTCTTCTGTATCTTCTTTAATACCACCAACAAAAATTTTCTTCACTGTTAGATGGGCACCAGGCTTTACAGAATCCTCTCTAGAAACAGCTCTCTTTGGTTCCACTATACGCCCATCAACCTTGTGTGACGGAGCACACATTGCTGCATCCACCTCTTCAACACAAGAGTAAGTCACAAAACCAAAGCCCCTGGAACGTTTGGTTTGGGGGTCTCTCATTACCACACAATCTGTGAGTGTGCCCCATTTCTCAAAATGTTCTCTTAAACTATCATCTGTAGTTTCAAAGCTCAGACCACCAATAAACAGCCTCCTCAATTGCTCTGGTTCCTTTGGATCGTGGCCCTCGAAGCCATCTGCGGCATTTCTACCGGGCCGCCTCCTGACTGCTCCTCCAATCCCGCGCTCCTTCTCAGTGGCACAGCGAGGCGGCGGCCATTGCGGGCCAATGCGCCATTTCGTAACGTGGCAGCGGATCAATGTCAATGTGGCCCCAAAAATCTTATATCCAGCAAAATTAAGCTTTAGATTTGATGATGAAATAAAAATCTTCCATAATAAACCAAAGTCAAAAGAATTTACAACTAGAAAGCCTGCACTACAGAACATCCTCAGCAAAATATTCCACCAAGAGGAAATGAAAAACAATGATGAAAATCAGCAGAGGGAGGTATTACACTAAAGGAAAATCTAATCAGAGGAGGAAACCAAGTCACGATAAATACCAAAAATGGTTGGGAATACAAATCATGTCTCTATAATAACCCTGAATATTAATGGCCTAAATTCACCAATCAAAAGACAGACTAGCAGATTGGATCAAAAAAAAAAAAAAAAAGACCCAACAATATGCTGCCTCCAAGAGACTCATAGGAAATGACATCCACAGACTGAAGGTGAAGGGTTGAGAAAAATCATACCACTCATAGTGTATATTGTATCATAGTGTTTATTGTATCCTTCATTTCCCCACTCATGGACTGGGGAAGCAAATAGGGGTTTCCATCCTCATATCAAATAAAATTAAAGTTAATAAAAAGGGATAAAGAAAGACACTACATACTGCTCAAGGGAACCATACCAGACACCAAGACTTGACAATTATAAATATATGCCCCAAACAATGGAGCATCTACATTAATCAAACTTTTCTCAATTTCAAGAACCAAATTGACCACAACACAATAATTCTGGGTGACTTTAACACACCTCTTTCACCACTGGATAGGTCTTCCAAACAAAAGCTGAACAAAGAAACTATAGAACTCAATAATACAATCAATAACATAGACTTAACTGACATATATAGAATATTTCATCCTTCAACGAGTAAATATATTTTCTTCTCAGCAGCACATGGATCCTTCTCTAGAACAGACCATATACTATGCCACAAAGCAACTATTAGCAAATATAAAAAAGTAGAGATACTACCCTGCATTCTATGAGATCATAATGGAATGAAATTAGAAATCAATGATAAAATAAGAAATAAAAGCTACTCCAGCACCTGGAGACTAAATAATATGCTACTGAATGAACAAGGGGTTGCAGAAGATATCAGGGAGGAGATTAAAAAAATTAGAGGTGAATGAGAACACAGATACAACTTATCAAAATCTCTGGGACACTATGAAGGTAGTTCTAAGCGGAAAGTTCATTGCATGGAATTCATTCCTTAAAAGAAGAAAAAGTCAACATTACAAAAAGTTAACATTACATCTCAAAGCTGGAAAAAGAACAAATCTACACCAAAAGCAGTAGAAGACTGGAAATAATTAAAATCGGAGGTGAAATCAGTAAAATTGAAACAAACAATTGAAAAAATTGACAGAACAAAAAGTTGATTCTTTGAAAAAAATAAATAAAATCGACAAACCATGCTATCCATGCTAACGAAGAGAAGGAGAGAGAAAACTCAAATTATTAACATACTGGATGAAAAAGGAAATATCACAACAGACACTACAAAAATACAGAAGATAATTAGAAATTATTTTGAAAACTTGTACTCCAATAAAATAGAAAATATAGAAGGCATTGACAAATTTCTAGAGTATATGATTTGCCCAAATTGAATCAGGATGATATGCACTATATAAACAGATCAATTTCAAGCGACGAAATAGAAGATACCATCAGAAGCCTACCAACCAAGAAAAGCCCAGGACCGGATGGATGCACAGCCAAGTTCTACAAGACCTTTAAAGAAGAACCAATACCAATACTCTTCAATTTATATTAGGAAATAGAAAAAGAGGCAGCATTTCCAAACTCATTCTGTAAGGCCTATATCATCCTGATTCCAAAACCAGGTAAAGACACATCAAAAAAAGAAAACTTCAGATCAATATATCTAATGAACATAGATGCAAAAATTCTCAATAAAATTCTGGCAAATTGAAAATAAAAACATTTCAAATAGATAGTGCACCACAATCAAATGGGATTCATCCCAGGGATGCAAAGTTGGTTCAACATATGGAAATCAATAAATGTAATTCATCACATCAATCATATGATCAATCATATGATCATCTCAATAGATCATATGGTCATCTCAATAGATGCAGAAAAAGCATTTGACAAAATACAGCACCACTTCACGCTCAAAACACAAGAAAAACTAGGGATAATAGGACCATATTTCAACATCATAAAGGCTATCTTACCCCAGGCCAACATCATTCTAAATGGAGAAAAATTGAAATCATTCCCTCTAAAAACTGGAACAAGACAGAGATGCCCTCTTTCACCACTTCTATTTAACATAGTTCTTGAAACACTGGCCAGAGCAATTAGACAGACGAAAGAAATTAAAGGGATACACATAGGAAAAGAGGAACTCAAACTAGCAGTACTTGCCAATGATATGATTCTATACCTAGAAGACCCAAAATGTTCTACCAGAAAACTTCTAGAATTAATAAATAAATTCAGCAATGTAGCAGGATATAAAATCAACACCTGTAAATCAAATGCATTTCTATATATCAGTGACAAACTTGCAGAAAGGGAAACGAGGAAAACTACCCCATTTACAATAGCCTCAAAAACAACAACAACAACAACAACAACAACTTGGGAATCAACTTAATGAAAGAGATGAAAGATCTATATAATGAAAACTACAGAGCCCTAAAGAAAGAAATCAAAGAAGACCTTAGAAGATGGCAAGATCTACCTTGCTCTTGTATAGGCAGAATTAATATTTTCAAAATTACCATACTATCAAAAGCACTATACAGATTTAATGCAATTTCAGTCAAAATCCCAAAGACATTCCTCATAGAAATAGAAAAAGTAGTCAAGAAATTCATCTGGAAAAATAGGAGACCCAGAATAGCTAAAGCAATTCTTAGCAGGAAGAGGGAAGTAGGTGGCATCACTATCAGACCTTAAACTATACTACAGAGCAATAGTAACAAAAACAACACGGGATTGGCACCAAAACAGACTGGTAGACCAATGGTACAGAATAGAGGACACAGAGACTAACCCACATAACTACAGTTATCTTATATTAGATGAAGGTGCCAAAAACATACATAAGAGAAAAGATAGCCTCTTTAACAAATGGTGCTGGGAAAACTGGAAATCCATATGCAATAAAATGAATTTAAACCCATTTCTCTCACCATGCACTAAACTTAAAGAGGATCAAGGACCTAGGAATAAAACCAGAGACCCTTCATCTAATAGAAAAAAAAGTAGGTCCTAATCTCCATCACGTGGAACTAGGCCCCAACTTCCTTAATAAGACTCCTAAAGCATAAGAATTAAAATAAAAAATTAATAAATGGGATGGATTCAAACTAAAAAGTTTCTTCTCAGCAAATGAAACAATCTGTGAGGTGAATAGAGAGCCAACATCTTAGGAGCAAATCTTTATCCCTCACACATCAGATAGAACACTAATCTCTAGGGTATATAAAGAACTCAAAAAGCTAAGCACCAAAAACAAAAACAAAAACAAACAAATAACCCAATCAATAATTGGCCCAGGACCTGAACAGACACTTCCCAAAAGATGATATACAATCAATCAACAAATGTATGAAAAAATGTTCAACATCTCTAGCAATTAGAGAAATGCAAATCAAAACTACTCTAAGATTTCATTCACCCAGTCAGAATGGCAGCTATTATGAAGACAAACAACAATAAGTGTTGATGAGGATGTGAGGGAAAAGGTACACTCATACACTGCTGGTGGGACTGTAAATTGGTGCAGCCAATACAGAAAGCAGTATGGAGATTCCTTGGAAAACTGGGAATGTAACCACCATTTGATCAGTCTATATCCAAAGGACTTAAAGATAGCATACTACAGGGACACGGCCACATCAATGTTTACAGCAGCACAATTCACAATAGCTAAACTGTGGAACCAACCTAGATGCTCTTCAGCAGATGAATGAATTTTTAAAATGTGGCATATATACACAATGGAATATTACTCAGCATTTAAAGAGAATAAAATAATGATATTTGCAGGTAAATGGATGGAGTTTGAGAATATAATGCTAATTGAAATTAGCCTACCCCAAAAAACCAAATGCTGAATATTTTCTTCTGATATAAGGAGGCTGATTCATAGTGGGGTTGGCAGGGGGAGCATGGGAGGAATAGACAAACTCTAGATAGGGCAGAGGGCTTGGAGGGGAAAGGAGGGGGCATTGGGTTAGAAATGATGGTGGAATGTGATGGACGTTATTATCCAAGGTACATGTATGAAGACACGGATGGTGTGAATATAATTTGTATACAACCACAGATATGAAAACTTTGTGCTCTATATGTGTAATAAGAATTATAATGCATTCTACTGTCATATATAAATTCCAAAAAAATTAATAATAGTAAAAAAAAGAGTTCCTCTCTAGTTTTTTTTCAAATTTTGGGTTATTCAGTCTTGGCAACTCAATACTTTATATAGAAAATCTTATTGGTCACAAGTGTTTGAATAATAATCTTCATATTGTGAAAAGATGATACAGCAGTATCTATAAAAAATATTATTCCAGGAGACAAAAAGGGCATGTAGTCCCTTGCATTCCATCCCAGTAACAGACCTTCTTTGAGAGTGGCCTCTTGGCCTGAGCAGGTATTATCTCTGAGTTATTTCTACAGAATCCCTGGTGTTCTGTTGCTATTTGTTCTTCCTTCTCATTCCAAGGTTAAGCACTGTTCAATGTGGTCTAGACAAACCTGCTTTTTGGTCTAGATAACCAGGCTGTAATTTATTGACCACTCCAAGGTAATAGTTGAAAGTTCATATTCAAAGAATGAAAAACAAGTATCTAAAATAAGTGGAGTATAGTATTATGACTGACACAGAAAAGCACATTTTTTAATACCTTTGTTTTATTTATTTTTTATGTGGTGCGGGAGATCGAACCCAGTGCCTCACGCATGCTGGGCAAGTGCTCTACCACTGAGCCACAACCCTGGCCCAAGCACATTTATTTTTAATATTTTTTATTCAAATATTAAAATGGGCCAAATTATCCTCACTTTAGAGTGAATTATATTAGCTGGAAGTTTTTGTCTTTGTTGTTTACTTATTTTATCTTTTAGATTATGTTAAATATTGTCATCAAGATGTTGAATCATTCCTTATATGCAATATTTGGTTTTAAGAAGAACTTATGACCTCTTTTTTTGTAGTAGTTGCAAAAGGATCAATAACACTTCTAGTTTTATACTTCTACCCCACCCTCTAAAGCACATATAAACCTCTAATGCATCACCAGAAGCTACTTCCTTGGGAATTACCTAGAACTTCTGTCCAATGACTTAACATCATAGGAATTTCCCAAGTTTGCTGAATTCTGCTTAGAGGCCAAGATATCTGAGAGTAACTTGTCTATTATTTTTAAATGTTCTCCCCAAGACATCATGATGGAAAAAGTATTTCAAACATGGAAGGAGAGTATCCTGGGTAAACTATGCATACTGACTCTACATATTGATAGAAATGACAAGCTGCCAGCCAGTCCAAGGGGTTTAAGTATAAAGTGATGAAGAAGGAACGAACGGAATTTCCTCTGTGCCTCCCAGTAAGTTATTCTTTCACTAAGAGTTAATTGAATGGCATCCCAGAAGTGGGGTGAGCCAGTGATTCACATTCTCAGTTAAGCCTATTGGTAGTGCAATAGTTGGCTTATTTACAGAGAGGACTTTTTGCGTGACCCATTTAATTCTACATACCCACTGCACGTGGACAGAAATCATTGATCACTTTTATATCACAAGTTTTTCCCTCCATTTCTGGACTAGAAAACAAGCAGTGTTTATCTAGGGTATCGACTTACAGAGAAAACAGTGAAAACCAGGTTGATGGCACCAACTCCAATGGTTGCATAAACAGGTTTGCTGATTCCAGCTGTCTGAAAAATGCTGGTTGAGTAGTAGAATATCTGCAAAGTACAAACAGTTTGGCCTTAATCAGGAAGTCTCACACTCATGTCTTTAAGGCAAGAAATATTTTAGGTTATTTGTTTTTCCATGTTCCTCTAGAGCCATAGTCCCTAGAACTTCCTAAAGATTTTCTCCACCCTCTCTTTCCAGAGTAGATAACAGACTTCCTTTAGCATTTAAAGCTTTTGATTGCTTAAAAGTTCTCCTTACATTTACAGTTAGAAAACTTTGCTACTATTTTTTAAATTTGTAGACTTTTTGTTAAAGTATAACACATATAAAAACACACATAAGTGTACAACTGAATTAGTTTTAATGAATGGGTCACACCTGTATAACCAGCTCTTAGATCTGGAAATGAATCATTGAACACTCTGCAGAAACTCCCTATTTGTTCCCTCATCCACTGTCCTGAAGAAATCACTCTCCCATCATCTAACGTTATAGATAAAGTTTGCCTAGTTTTGTACTTGATGATGGAACCACATAATATGTACTATTTTTTGTCTGCCTTCTTTTGTTCACAGTTACCTTTATGAGTTACCTTATTGTCATATTTGCAGACTGTTCATATCATTACTCTATAGAATTTTGTTGTATTAGCACACCACAATTTGGTTATTCAATCCACTCCTGATGAATATTTAGGCACTAAGGGTGATTATGAATAGTGTTGCTCTAAACAGTCTAACAGTCCTTTTGGTGAAATATGTAATCATACCTATGAATAGACAATTGCTGGACCTTAGGGTATGCATATGCTCAGCTTTGGTACAAATGGCCAAACAATTTTCAAAAGAAGTTAGGACAGTTTTATGTGCTCATCATAATGTGGGAGAGTTCTGTCTTTTATGATTAATCCAGAATTTTCCACTAATCTCAGTAGGAATGGAGAAATCAATTTCACAGCCCAATAGCTTTTTTTAAAAAAAATTTAGTTATGTTTATATACTTCTAATAGTCTTTTAGATCATTGTGTTATTCCTCTGTCACTTTTCCCCCACTCAACATGTCCTGTTCCTCGTTCCTCCTGCAGAGAGGACTAATGCAGGAGAACTGTGCAGACTGTTCAGTGAGCAGTGGCTATACTACTATCCTACTATTTTTAGGCTGCTCCACAGCCTCAGGGCCAACATTTTCTCAATACCTCTTGAAGTTAAGATCCTGGGATGGAAGATGAACCAGGAAGTTCAGAAAGATTAAGTATTGTCTAGTGGATATACAGGCAGAACTGAGACAGGGGATATGAATTTGGTCTGTGAGTTCCAAAGTTGTACACAGGTAAACATCAAGATATCTTACTACAGACTATATGAAAGAAATATTGGTTTATGAAGTGAGGTTTATCTCAGGTATCCTTTTACTTCAACAGATAAGAATTACTTTCTTTGTCTCCTCCAAGACTCTGACCATCCATTAGTACCCCTAAATTGTCTCTTGTGGATCTGGGATTGACTCACTAGTGATAGAAACCTAATCCACATAATTTAATATCAATAGATGAGGGCATGTGATTTTCTTTATCTAATTTCTTAACAAGTGCTTACATTTTTCTTTTTCTTTTTTAAGTACTTTTTAGTTGTCAATGGATCTTTATTTTACTTATTTATATTCAGTGCTGAGAATCGAACCCGTGCCTCACACATACCAGGCAAGCACTTTACCGCTGAGCCAAAACCTCGGCCCCCTTACATTTTTCTTCTAGTGGTTAATTTAGTCTGCATGATACAAGGGTTTCTTTGTGTATTTTTTATCAGCACATTATAACTATACATAGTAGTGGGATTCACTGTAACATATTTATACATGCACACAGTGTAACAGTAAAGGGTTTAAAATCAGAACCTAAAAGTTTGATACTACCATATTTTTCAATCACATCTTATCTACTACCCTCACTCATCAATATTATGCCAACTCATTCTATTGTTTATTTTTATAGGCTGTCTTCACAAATAAAAAAGTTTCTTGATGGCAAGAAACTGTTCTTTGCATCTAGCTATCTGGCATCCTTCATTTAAATAAAAAGAACCATGGACTCCCTTTTTCCCTCACTATCAAAAATCCTAAATTTCATTCTCACCTCTGGAAGCCTCTTGTAATTTAGGGACCTTCCCCCTTTGGAAATGATGATTATTCTCCTTTTCTCTCATTGCATTTACTATGACTTTTGCCTTTTTGTCTCATCTTAATAGAAATAAATCACCATTGAGTACTGATATTTTAAAGAATTGCAACCTATTTTAGAAAAGAAAATTTTCACTTAATTTTCTGTTGTAGTAACACTTGATAGCTATGTAGTAACACTTGATGTCAATGTTTTAAAGCATCCTTTAGTTATTTAAACTTTAACCTCTTTCCTTCTTAGTTCACTTTGTGTTCTTAAATTTAGAAGATATTCTCAACTTACCCCATTGATTCCAGAAAATTGCTGAGCCGCATGCAGCATCAATGACACAATGATAGGCTGTCTGTAGCTAGAATCAGTGAAGAGCTGAATTATGGAGACTTTCTGCTCACTTGATGCTTCTTCTTTTTCTTTTTTCATCTCATTTATGTCTTTGGTGACATCATCACTTCCTCTGAGTCTTTTTAAGCCTGTTCCCCCAAATTATCAAGTTGAAACAACTCACTCAGATCAAAACAAAAATTAATTTATTTTTACTGTGTTCATGAAACAGCTATAGTTCTGCATGTCCCATTCTATTACTTTATAGCATGGGGGTTGGAAATTCTCTTTTGTTAAATTAAATCCTGCTCTTTGATGTAAAAAGGCAGAACATTTGGCTTCATCTTTTGACAGAAAACTATGATCCTCATTATCATAAAAGCATAAATCTAGGCAGTCTTTTGGAAGTCTCTGGTTAAGTCCCTTTTGTGGGCTTTAGTGCATGCTTACAGGTGTGATATGGCACACACCAGTCCTATCAAAGTGATTTTGCACATTCTTATTACATGTAATTACTGACTTCATTTGGAAGTCCCTGTTAATAATTTTGCTAGCAACCATTCATACACACTGTTTGGTGTTTCAAAAACAATAGAAAGCTGGTATTTCAAAAACAATAGAAAGAAAGAAAAAACATCTACATACTCACTTTGCTTTGCTTTTGCTTCTTCTTCCAACGTGATATAAAGATATCTGGGGCTTTCTGGACAGAAGAAGAGTAGCAGAAACTGGAGGAGGGCCCGCACAGCAGACAGGCCAAGCAGGATGTGCCATAGATCATGATTGCCCAGGATAAACTCAAGGCCAACAATCTGAGAGGATAAGGAGGAAACTTATCAGCTACACAATGCTCTGCATCTGCCTTCTACAATTTGTTGAAAAAACACATTGGCTATTCAGTAGTAATCCCTAACAGTCCTGGTTCACGTAAGCACAAGTTGGAAACCATTACATCTAATCTTAACCAAAACAGGGACAATTTACTTGGCAAATAATTCAACTGGGCTTGTTTGTATTAACTTCATTTACACATTTAGGTTGGGAATCAACCCAACTTTTAAAAAATACATTTGATATCTAAAGCAACATATGGCTATAGTCTCTAGGCAACCAGATGGAAAAATACTGTATTAAAATCATACATAATTTTGGGGCCTTGTTCCAAAGTTTTTTTTTAGAAAATATTTCTTGGGGCTGGGATTGTAGATCAGTGGTAGAATGCTTTCTGAGCATGTGTGAGGCACTGGGTTCAATTCTCAGAACCACATAAAAACAAATAAATAAAAAATAAAGGTTAAATTCTTAAAAAAAAGAATGTACAAAAAAGAAGAAAATATTTCTTTTTAAATTGCTTAGATTATTCAGCAACCCAGCTCCTTTATTCCATTATAGATAGAACAATTGCTTAGCGAAAATCAGCTTTATGAATCCTATTTCAGAGATCTTTCTGGATGATTAAATATGAGGTTCTAAAACTCCCTCTGAGGCCATAGGGTAGAAGGGAAGGAAAGAACCATCGGAACAAGAGCTCCTGTAATCATCATTTGCATGCTAGGTTTCCAAGAAAGATGATCAAAACAAAGGAAACCCATGCAGTCAAAAACATGAAGTTTCTTATTTTTTGAAATCTAAATCAAATAACTTAATTCCTGAATAGTATTGGAAGTTTCAATTCTAGTGCCAATCCCACCAAACAACTTTTAAGGAGAAAAGTCAGAAGTGGTAATAGTTTAACTTTGAGCTAAAACGCCTGTTTCTGTACCATTTTCACTATTGCTGTTAGTTATACCTAAATAATTAATCTGCTGCTATAATTACAATAATAATAATTATTATCATTATCTTCCTCTGTGCTAGTCTACCATGGAAATAGAAAGGAAAGGAGAAGTGGGTGAAGAAGAGGATGAGTAAAGTGGAGGATGAGGAGTTTTTACCTGACTAATAAGTATGCCCGTGACAATGGCTAGCTGGTGAAAAGTGCCAAGAGCACCCCTGAGCGTGGTTGGAGCAATTTCACCAATATACATTGGAACCAGCCCTGAGATTAACCCTGCATGAAACATGAATATAACAAATGTTAAAGTACACCCAGGAACATTGCAGTAACAATGATATTTGGTCTAAGTACACCCAATATCCAGACTGAAACTCCCTTCCTGCATCCCTTGGGATGAAGGGCCCTTGTCTTCAGCCAAAGACACAATTCATGCAAAACAAATTTGTTAATACAACCTTATCAATGAAGGTTGTATACCACCTTATGATGAAGGTGCAGTTGAAAATACTGTTAGAAAGAAATGCTTGGTCATGTATTTTGCAATTCTTCATGGTGTTGTCTCAGTTTTCAAAAAAAAAAAAAAAAAACCTACCTTAATGTTTAGTTTACATCATAGTGCCTGAAGTTCTCTTGAGAAAAGAGACTGAAGAATGTTTAAATAATATTCTTAATAGACTCATGAAATTAAAGGAAACTAGGACACCAACACGCCACCCTCACAATGGAGGTGAGAAATGATGTGCCAAGATCCCATGGTATGGAGGGTTAGAATGAGAACTACCAATCTCCACAATGTGGAAGTATGGCAAGGTCCCTGTTGGGGTGGAGAGGTAGGTGGAAGAGTTGGAAGAGTTAAGGAACTCAAGGACTCTTCCCCCAGTTGTCAGAGCAACCCAGCTCCTTTATTCCCTCTACGTATTAGGCTTCAGAAAAGATTTTATTTGAAAAAAGACTTTTGTGCTGTAAAGGAATATGAAAAATTTGATCAGTCATGTTGAAAAGGTGGCATACCCATCCAGCCACTGGCTGATTGCAGTAAAAATTAAGATCTGTCAGAAGGCAATCTCTTAGAGGTTGCCTACTGATTATCAAATGGAAGTGGATGGTCTCTGTGTGAAAGATGCTTTGGCAACTATTTTCAATGTGCATATTTAATGCTCCAAACTCTTAATATCTCCAGTGAATATTTGAATATCTGATATGGCATCTGAACTTCTGGAGAATTTTACATGTGACTATAACATGCTGCCTATTCAGCTTCAATAAGGAAAAAAAAAACATTTGAGGTTGTACTATCTTTCCATAATATCTAATACTATATCTCAAGATCAAAATGATACAGCTAAGTTCACAAGTCTGAAATAATATGAATCTGAAGTCAAATTATATTTCCTATAAATTTTAGCAACATTAACAGTCAGAATATTAGAAATACTTTACATACAAATTCTGTGCCCTCATCATTCCTTCCCTGCCCCGCTTGGTATTAGTGCATTGAAGGGCAACTCCAGTTTGTGAGAATAGGTTAAAACATCAGCCCAGAACCATCAGAATTAAGGATCCACTGGCCTTGAGAAATTAAATATTTGTCTGTTTTAGTGAGTGAATGTTCCTGCCTTTGTTCAAATCTCTGCTAATTTGTTCCTTCTGGACATTTGGAAAGCTGTATCCAAAAACTAGTGATTCCCATATTCAGACATGAAGTTCCTGGGAGGAGATTTATGAACTTTGCTGCTGCTTTTGCCTGATTCCCTCTCCCTAAAGACACCATCTCTTTAATGCTTCACTCAGCCATGCTTGGGATCAGACAGGGCTGGGGTGTATGGTTAAAGAGATGGGTACAGGTGTCTAGGTCTGGTCAGGTATGAGAAACAGAGACAGCCAGGTAGATCACAGGTCAGCACTGGGGGTCTGAGTGCAGCAGTCTTCCACTGTTTACTGCACCACAAAAGTAATAACAGCAGTTTTTGTATATTAGATTCCATGATTAGTGTTTTACATGTATTCTCACAATTACCCTGTAGGGTAGATACTTTCATTCTCTTCATTTCACAGATGAAGGAACTAAGAGTCAGAGTTAAACAATTTGTCTGAGATCAGACAACTAAAGATGCTGCTATTGCGGTGTACAGGATCCTAAGATAACATCACAATTCCCATTTACTGGTCCAAAACTCACAACTCAGGACCTAACTTTATGCAATTGTCTTTCCCTCTGTGACTTAACCCTAAGCTCAAAAATGTCCCTGCAAGTTAACACATGTGCTGCACAGTGATTTTCAGAAAAGATGTATATATGTGTTTTTGTCACTTACCACAGTAGAGTCCTGATATGCTTCTTCCTGCAATTATAAGAATATGAGATGGTCCCAATTTGGAAAACCCCATCAAAAGAGCTCCAGCTAATGAGAGAATGTTTGCTACCATCAAGGCCTTGATTCTGAAATTTCATAAAGCCAGAATTACAAATTAGGCATCAAAACTTAATAAAGTTATTGGCTTCCAGAGCTTGTTGAGATTTTTTTTACCTGAGTTCAATTATTTTAATTTTGCCATAAATGCTAGTTCAGAAATCTTAAACCAGTATTGTTACTTTGACTCATCTGTGGACCAACGTGTTAACAAAAGTAATATTTATGATGAGACAACCTGGGTTTTATACACTTAATCTCCACATTTTGATAGAGATGATTCACTCACAATGGTGACTAGTTTGATTTAAGATAATACTTCTGACACTTTTCCAAACAGTTAACTAAGTTTTCCAGAAATTGATTGTTTTAAGGAATAATTATCTGGTGATAGATGAATTCAATTTTGTGGTTGTAATCTATAACTTGTTTCTTTCTTTTTGTTTTCTTTCAATGTAAAGGTTTCAGTTGATGTAGATTGAAGAGGAACTTTCAAAGTCAAATTTCCTTTAGTATAAATTATTTTGATAACTAAAACATACTTTTTAAAGCTTATCATAATTATAGTTATAATTATCCTCATTTTAACACTGTACACCAGCATGTTTCCAGAATCCATGAATTAATGTCAACCAAGGTCAAATGTGTTATAAAGCTGACAACGGCAACAAAAACATCACTTTCAAAAATAATCATACAAAAATCGCACAAAAACCTTGTTCAAAGTTAAATAGCCAAAGTAAATAAAAGAATCTGACTGGTCAGTATAAAAATGTTTTTGCCATGAAGATATGTAAGCACCTTGCTGTATTCTATTTCATTGTTTCAAACTCTGATAGGTTGGCCTTTTCTAAGCAAATATCTTTAACACTAAACACATTATTTTCTAGAGAGTAAAACTTTAAAATCTCATAGTGAAATGATTTCCCAACAACTATGTGATAGGCTGAATAATGTCCCTCAAGAGTTCAAGTCTCAATCCTCAGATTCTGTAAATGATACCTTATGTGGCAAAAGGGATTTTGCAAATGTGATGACGTATCTTGACATAGGGAGAGTGTCTGATTATCCAGGTGAACCCAACAATGTAATCACAAGTGACCTCATAAGAGGAAGGCAGAAGAGAAGATGATGTGATAGAAGTGGAGATTGAATTGATGCACTTCTAAGATGGAGGAAGGGGCCACTGCAAACTGGAAAAAGGAGAGGAAGAAATTCTCTCCTCTCTGAGCCTCCAGAAGAAACCATCCCAATTGATATCATGACTTTAGCCAAGTGAAACTGATTTTGGACTTCTGACCTCCAAAACTGTAAGAAAATTATTTTGTGTTGTTTTAAGTCATCAAGTTGGTGGTAATTAATTACAACAGCAATAGGAAATTAATATAAGGAAATTATTAACTATCCAAAGATAGGGAACAGTTAAAAAGAACTTGCCGGTCCCTGAGCTGCCAGGTAGAAAAATAGTTAAAGGGTGTTTTTTTCTCTGCTAGACTACTGTGAAATGATTTTTCTTTTCACAAGGACAGAGAGCATGCAAATTCACCAATTAACCCTAAGAAATTATTAGCAGCTAGCTTATAGTCCACTCTGTTAGGAGGGAAAAAAGACAAAAAGTAAAACCAATAAAGTCCTGAGAAGATTTTTGATATCAGACTGTTTCTCTTCCTTACTGCAAACAATGGTTGCTGGAACACAAAATACAATATAAATGATTTTTAATTTCTATTCAGATGTGAGAAATGGCCAAAAATAAATGAAAATAATTTCAAAAATAATCATATGAAAATCACAAAAATACATGCAGTGATTGAATCAGGGAGAAAGAAACTTAATTCTTCCTAAGTGTATTTTTTTTTAAGCTCTTGCTCTGAATACCCCTGTTAGTGTTGGTTTCATTCTTATGAATGTCATCATCATCATCATTCTTGTATTGTCATAATTGTCTTTATTATCATCATCAAAATAAGGCCACATTTGTTGCCTGATGACTATATGTGAGGCATCGGGCCAAATCTTTTATATTCCTTCTCATTTAATCCTCATAATAATGCCATGAAGTAGGTATATATTCCCCCATCCCATGTTGCAGATGGTAGAAAACGAACGGTCTTAGAGAACCTAAGCAACTTGGTTATTTTCATACTAATATTAAGTGACAGAGCTGAACCTGATCTGTGCAACACCAAGGGTTAATGATGCTGCAATTTAATAAATTCCTGTGTGTGTGTGTGTGTGTGTGTGTGTGTGTGTGTGTGTGTGTGATGCTGGGGACTGAGCTCAGGCTCCCGGACATAGCAAGCACTCTACCTTGGAGCTATCCCTCCTGCCCTATGAGTTCTGTTTGCTGTGTATGCCTCCCTTGACTATGGTAGTGTGGATTGCATAGACCATGTCTTGCCCAAAACACTTTTCTCCTACTTAAAAGGTAAGTGCACAGTCTTTGGAAAAATTGACCTTGCAAACCCAGTCTATAAAATGTTGGTCTATTGACTACTACACAGTTTCAGGGAAAAACTTTTTTTTTTAAGCTATAATGGAAGGAAAACATTTTTATTTACTTACTTTTAACTAGTAGAGAAATCATCCTAGCAACACTTTTATTCATGTCATTTCTCAGTGACTTTCCCCAGGGGGAAAAAAAAAAAACTTTCACAAGAGATACTGAACTCTTTTATCTTAATTTTTAAGTTGAATTTATGAGATTCATGACTGTTTTTCAAGGAAGATGATTTTTTATTGTGCTGGAAGAAGTTTCAATTTCCTTATAATAGGTTATTTAATAAATGGTCATTTGATATGGTTATGGCTATTGTTGATGCTAAATCTTGGCTTCAGAGGATATGCATCCTGGCTTTATTGCTAGGCCACTGGTTACATGTTTCAGGGTAAGTCACTAGGCCTGTGAGAATCTCATCTCTGAATATAGGAAGGGTTTAATTTTTCCTTTAGGAATGGGAAGTAGCTCCAATTGATTTGTTCATATTTTAAAATTTAATTTTGCTCAGTTTGATTTGACTTATAAATAATCTAGAAAATTCTCCATTTACTGTTTAAGCCAATCTGATGCAATTTGAAATGACTCTTACTTTTGTGTGTGTGTGTGTGGTATTGGGAATTGAACCCAGGGGTCTTATCATTTGAGCTACATCCCCAGACCTTTTTATCTTCTATTTTTTTCTTTTGAGACAAGGCCTCACTAAGTTACTGAGGTTGGCCTTGAATTTACAATCCTCTTTGCCGAAACCTCCCAAGTCCCTGGGATTACAGGCATGTGCCACTGTGCCCCGGCTAATTTTTAGCATTTTTTTAAATGATGAAAGGCAATTTATTTATTCTGTTGTGTACATAATCTGTTTTCAACCAAATACCAGTACATTGATAAAAATGTAAGAAATTGAAGGAGACTCCAATTTAAGCAATAAAACTTGAGTTACCATGATGCCCTTTACTTGAGAAAATGTCTTACAGTGTTATTATATAAAATTCTAGTGTAAGAGGAAGAAATCATCACAATTAAATAACTAGAAAACTAAAGACTTTAATTTATAGTAGCAAAATTAGAAATACTAAATAATTTGTAATTCAGAATTATTAAGTTAGTCATCTATATTTTTATTTATACCTTTAGAAGTTTTTGCACTTCCTAAATTTTCCAAATTTGGAGTGTATTATTATTACTATTATTATTATTATTATTTTGGTATTGGAGATTGACCCAAGGGTGCTTGAGCTACATTCCCAGCCCTTTAAAAAATATTTTTATTTAGAAACAGGGTCTTGCTAAGTTGCTTAGGGCCTCACTAATTTGCTGAGGCTGGCTTTAAACTTGTGATCCTCCTGCCTCAGCCTCTTGATCTGTGTATTATTTTTATTATAAGAATAAAAGATAATTAATACACAAAATATGGGCTCAAAGAGCAGGAAATAAAGCTAAAGAAATATCATTTGATTTTCTAATCTTATTTCCTTCCTATATGGTAGGAAAACCCCAGCAGCTATAGTATATCCTCTGTCTCAGTGAAGCTTGAGGGTAAAGGAGTTTCACAGATATTTTCCATGCAAAATGTCTAATAGAAGCCAGAATTGAGAAATGTTCCATCTTGCTTCACTCGGGTCCAGACTTTGAGATAGCAGTAGCCAAAGCAGCAGCTCGAAACGCATGCCAAGTACACAGGGTTACTGGGAATCAGGAATGTTGACTTGACCTTAGGACTTGACTAAACCAAAAGCCAAGTTCTAATTTACAAATGAAAAAACTGATGTTTGAGAAACGATATGATTTGGTGAAGCATACAATGGACTCTCAGTTTAAAGATTCCCATCTAGGCTGGACATGGTGATGCGTGCCTGTAATCCCAAAGACTTGGGAGGCGGTGGCAAACAGATGGCAAGTTCAAGGCCAGCCGCAGCAACTGAGTGAAGCCCTAAGCAACTTATCAAGACCCTGTCTCAAAATTTGAAAGGGAGACTGGTGGTGCTGAGAATATGGCTCAGTGATTGATCACCCCCTGGATTCAATTCCCAGTTTAAAAAAAAAAATCCAGTTTAAGCTCTTCTTCTAAGTTCCCGAGGTAACCATTATGCAATGGTTTTCTAGTATGTTCTATAACTTACAAAGCCAGAGTATCAAAGTAGTTATCTAGAAATACACAATAAATTGACTTTTGCTATTTTGACTACATAATTAACTAGATAATTGCAGGAACATTGTCTGCTGATTTGGTCTAACACTGACCTGCTTCATATGTTTATGAGTTGAGAAAACAACTCTAAAACTACTCCATAAAAAGAAAGATGGCATCTTTCAAAAAAAAAAAATTCTAACACCTCCAAGATACTAAAGTTTTTGCATTTTTATATATTTATGAATTTATGCCCACCTTCCAAGCTTGTCCCCAAGCCATCCACCAAAAAATGATGCAATCATTCCACCAACTGCAAAGCTGGACACAGACAGGGACCAGAGCATGGTGATTAGGCCAGCAGATGCCATAGCCTCTTCCCCAGCTGGTACTAGGTTCGCTGGGTATGTGACTGTGGGCAGTGCTTCTGTGCTGTTGACAGCATAGTTGTTGGTAGCCTTTCGGTCATCCAGTGGAATCCCCAAGACATGTCTATAATGGGATATTATTATCTGAGAAAATAAAATAAAGAAAAGTTAATTCAATATTTTAAACATTCTATATACTTTGTTTGATTTTTTTCATTAAAATATTAGGTATTTAAACAGGACCATTCCATTAATAAACATGGATAGATGTATTTACATTGATCATACCTTATAAAACAGAGGCCACCAGGAACCAGGCAGGGACAGATAGATGAGTGAAGGAGGCATGGTACCTGGTGACTAGAGTCCTGAAGGTGCATATCCACCCCCCCCCCCCCCCCCCCCCCCCCCCCCCCCCCTGGGCTAGAATAGGGAGTGTGGGCTTGTGGAATGGTAGCATTTCCTCCACCTAAAGGAGGAAGCTAAAAGTTTAGTCTAGTGTTGGATGACCTTTAATTTTTTTAACGGAAATCAGAATTCTAGTTTTTTTTATATTAAAAATTTCAGGTTTTAAATGCTGGCAACTCTTTAAATATTGAAAATATTCTTCAAGTTAAAAGATGTGTTTACACCAGAATTACTTCTGCACAGCAGGATTTAAATTAACTTAAATACTGAAATAGAAACATAAAAGAAAAATGATTAGGGAAGATAAGATGAGGGTCAAAAATAAAGTTGGTACTACACAAAATTAAAACACTAGGTATTGTATCCTTGGGAGAATTGAGTTATAAATTTAGCAGTTAACTTGTAGGTGGTCAGTGCAGAGGAAAACAATCAGGTATATGATTAATGAATTACAAAGAAAAACATATCCTAGTGGGCCCTGAGAAGGTACAAAGACTGAAGAAAGTTTGAACTGTGGGTCCTCATAGAGTTCAGTGTGTAACAGAAGGAACGATGTTCAAAACTAAATTTTACAGAGCCATATTTTATAATGTGCTTTGGTAGAGACAAATATGGTACCAAAGAAAAATCATGTAGAAATATATCCTTCAGGTCATCTTTCTCCCATGTCATTTTTCTTGCTGATTAGATCACTATTCAGCCATAGTGAGCTGGAGGTCCTCTCTGACAGTTCCTAGAATGTAGTTGCTCTGTATTACCAGTTACAAGGAAAGTCCTGTTTGGTAAAGCCACCTGAGTGAAGAAGAGAATCATTAGATGGCTGCCTTACATGGATAACATGCCATTTAAAAAAAAAAAGGCTGTAAGGAAATATTCAGAATGTTCTTAGCAGTTTGCTCTATAACATAGAATTATGGATGATTTTTTTCATATATTTTCTGTACTAGGAATCTGTAGTTTTAGAATTATAAAAAATATGACTTTAAAATACATTCCAAATATCATTCAGCTAATGAAGAAATAGAGGACCTAAATGCCCATTATTATTAATGGTGTTTAAGCAGCTCTTTAAACACAGAGGGGTTTGTCAAGAAGGCACTAATCTGATAAATTAGAAGGGTCCCTGTTTTCAGGCTGGGGTTGTGGCTCAGTGGTGGAGCACTTGCCTAGCATGTGTGAGGGCACTGGATTCAATTCTCAGCACCACATATAAATAAATAAGCTAAACATTCGTTGACAGCTAAAAAATGTTAAAAAAAAATAATGGTCCCTGTTTTTCAGCTCTGACTCAGGAGAGTCAGAGAGATGGGAGATTGAGAGATGGGAAATCTTAGCCTAATTTTCATTCTAAGACTGGAGAGGATGGTTAAATAAGATGTAAAAAGGTCTTCCATAAAAATTGAAGTTCTACCAATTTCTCTTTTGAAGTCATGGTAATGTGGAACTGAATTTTAGAAAGCTTCCTAAATTGACACTTGTTATCACCCAAGAAAGAAAGATAAGAGGGGCTGGGTCTGGGGCTAAGTGGTAGAGGGCTCGCCTAGCGTGTGCAGGACGCTGAGTTCGGTCCTCAGTGCTACATAAAAATAAAATAAAGGTATTGTGTTCAACTACAACTAAAACAATTTTTTTTTAAAAAAAAAGAAAGAAAGAAAAAAAGATATAAGCCCCGTCTGTTGACCCCCAGTATTATTCTCTGGATCTTACCATAGCGAGGCTGCCATACTCATGATGGGATGTGGTACCTAATGGGGACACATCTTGGTTTTTGTTTGTTTGTTTGTTTTGGTACTGGGGATTGAGCCCAGGGGCACTTAACCACTGAGCCACATCCCCTAATTGGGGACACATCTTTTGGCCAAAGGAGAAGCTCTTTTCAGGTAATAGATTGTACCCTATACATTACACACATTCACAACTTGTAGTGTCGAATTTTTCTTGAAGTTCTGTGCTATAAGAGAAGCAAATGAAACATGGTGGATTCACATGATGTTCAGTTTTCATAACTCCACCTTATACCACCCTCTCCCAGGTGTGCTCCCTCTCTCTCTCTCTTCCTCCCTCCCTCCCTCTCCATTATTCACTTAACACTTTTTTGAGCACCTTCTTTATGTTAACTATTGTGCTTAACAATAATGACAGAGGGGGATAAAGTTCTGGTCCCCTCCTTGCCCCCTTTTGTAGGCTATGGGACCTTGAGAAAAATCTTATTTTCTGATATTCTCTAGATAACTGAGTAGAGATGTAAAAAAATAATGAGAAAACTGTAGAAATTACCTGATATACATTTTTAGTTACCAGGAAAATACTCATCATGGAGAAAATCTAAACTTTGTTGGATTTTTTCACTCTGGTTCTAAAATTTTGTATTATTTTATATTGAATAACCCATGGGAGGCAGGAAGGAAGGAAAGGACTGTAATCTTTTTAGTGTTAGGGCTCCTAAAGGTTATAATCTGGCCTGGCAACCGGCCTAATAAAGTTGTTGGGAGGCTCCGTTGGGGATAGTTGAAGTACCTGATGCAGTAAGTGTCCAATAAAGGTTCACTGAGTGAAACATAGCCTTCTGCTGTTTTCGTTATTCTCTGGCATTTTTCATTCATGTATGGATGAGAGCTCTGAAGAATGCTGCAATAAACTCTTTTTCAAAAAACATCCTGGGCATGTGGTACTCTAGTTAGAGATTTCTATGAGCTCAGCGATTAGCAGAGCCAGAGATCAAGAATTAGTTTCACTCTTTCTGGGAGGATTGTTAACTGGAGAGTCAAGGCCAACTTATCAGCTTTGGAACCACGCACATTGTACTTGGCAGGCCAGGATTACCCCGTGTCTACCACGTGGACACACTTTATCTTATACATGGGGAATATGTGATACTCTCTGGACATGAGGAACTCATAGGACATGCCCCCAAAAGAACTTGTGTATGTTTCACTTGCCTCTTGAGGTGCATTGATCACACCAATGTCATACCCAAACTGGAAGGAACTCAGGGCAGCAGTGAAGACAGCAAAAATCAAAGTTCCAGTGATCTGTGGGATGAAACACAGTTGGGAAACAGCAGGCAGTTTCAGCTCCTTATCATCCCATCAGGCTGCAGTGTGGGCCTCTCAATGGCTCCACAGGCTGGTTCTTTCCCCTCGGTATCCACTATGCACTTTGGCAGGGTAGGGGTTATTCACAGGAGAATGTGAAAACCATTTATCTTTTCTTACACTTCTAGAACTGAAAAAGGTTTGGAATGGCTTTTCCCAGGGGAGGAACCAAACATCTTTTTCCTTACATATATATTTTTTAGAATTCAGAATCTGAACTGAGAACTAGAATTTGCTGAAGAAAAAAAAAATTTCCAAGATGGAAACATTTATGTTGTTGGGAGAAGTTACATACAATGAAGGGACAGGGAGCTCTCTGGACACTGCCATGGTGCAGAAACACTTCAGCCCTCATATAAGAGGCATCAACTAGCCTCACTGTGATCTACCTTAAAGGATTTGCATCTAATTGAGCCTAGAGTCAGGGGCTCAAGCTATATTGTTTCTCTCCAACTCCATGAAGCTATTACAGAGCATTTTCATCTCCATCAACCTATAATTATATATCTAACCAACTATAGGAAAATTATATGATACATGCAGATTCACATTTGTGGGTAATGGAAAAAATTGTAGAAAGAATTTTGATGTTATTCAATGACAAATGTCAAATAGATTCAGATACATCCTGGTACATATGTCAGATACATACATACTGTATAGCAGTCAAAAAGAATATAAATGTAAAAATCCTTTAAAATGTTAGTAAATAGTAAGGCATGGTGGTGCACATCTGTAATCACAGCTACTTGGGAGGCTGAGGCAGGAGGATCACAAGTTTGAAAGCAGCCACAGCTACTTAGCAGGATCCTGTCTCAAAAATAAAGAATATAAAGGGCTGGGATGTAGCTCAATAGTAGAACACTCCTGGGTTCAGCACTCAGTACCATTAAATAATAAATAAATAAAGTGATTGTATGCAATAATTTATTTTTAAGTGGTAAAAGAAGTTGTTGATCATATGAATGTTTTAATAAAAACCTTAAACATGAATATTCTTTGATTTGTGAATGTTGCATAGAATATTTTCTTGAAGAATAAGATGATAATCTTTGAGAAGGAATGTTACATGTTCTTTTATTTATATTATTAGATATTTTATAGAGAAAATATTTGATATATTTAATTATATAATTTAAATTTTTAAATAAAAAGCATGGGTTATAATAGGCACATTGTTGGATGAAGGAATGAATCATGGATTCCAGTTTCCAGTTTTTTACTTCAGTGATATATGACTCAACCCACTTCCTCAATAGGAGCTTTGGTTTTGTCTAAATTGTAGGATGATTATAAATCTCCCCACTCAGGCATGAAGTATAGCTTAGTAATCAGGACCTTGATTCCCTGATAAAGCTGGAAAAGTTATGGAGTCTGGTGGCTCTAAAACCAGACCCCTACTTGGAGAGCTTGTTATGTATGTAGCTTCCAGAGACTTACCCAGACTTTCTGCTGGATTGGAATCTTAAATTGGGGTTGGGAATCTGCAGATTTACAAAACTCCCTTTCTTTTCACTAATTGTAGGTGGCATCTCTATAGACTTTCCCTCCCAACAACTTCCTTCTCTGAAAGATTTCAAAGCTGACCCAAAATATATGATTATAATATAATATAATATACACACATACCATATTATATATACTATGTTTACTAGAAATAACTAGTATATATTATATCTAAAGTATGGGCATGGACACACACTATATGGTAACAGGATTATGAAAAACTTTGAACTATCTGCTAAAATGTAATTATACATCTAGAACCCAGTGGCCAGACAGACAAAGCTAAGATAGGGTACCATTGACTTGCTTGGTGTTTTCTCCTCAAATTCTTTTCCCCTCCAGAGTACTAGTTATCACAGCAGTGAGGGCGCCGGGGACCTGGGAAGGGCTTCAGCCTCCCTCTGTCACGTTCTATCACTCCAGTCTGGACAGCGTGGTGTGAGGCACAGTGCAGACACAGCTTCTGCGTCTAATGCTGAGTATCCATGTTTACTGTATGCCTGCTCACTGCTCTGGGTGGGTTTTCTCAAGTACTCCTTGTGATTTCTATTGCTGCTCTAACAAATTACCACCAACTCAGTGGTTTAAACAGCACAAACTTATTTATTTTACAGTTCTGTAGGTCAGCAGTCCAGTACGCATCTCAGCAGATTAAAATCAAGGTGTTAGCAGGCTATGTTCCTTCTGGAGGTTGTAGAAGAAAATGTGGGTTGATGGTAGAATTCAGTTCCTCATGGTTGTAGGACTGACCTGTATAGTTTTCATCCTGGCTGTGAGCTGAGGGCCATTCTCAGCTGCAGAGGCCACCATAGTCTTTTGGCTAATGGTGGCCTTCCTCCATCTTCACAACCAGCAATGGCAGGTCCAGTTTTCATGTTGCATTGCTCTGATGCTGAAAACAGTCAGGAGAGTTCTTCCCTTTTAAGAATGCATGGGATTAGATTTGATCTATCTGGACAATCCAGGAAAATCTCCCCATCTTTAAGGTCTGTAACCTTAATCACATGTGCAAAGTACATTTTGCCTTCTATGTGACCTGACACTAGACTTGGTCCAAGAAAGTTTTGCTTATGATAGGGAAAATTTTCTGAAAACTACTAAGTCTGAAAAAGCTCCATCAACCTTCATCCAATCACTCTGATGTTCAGGAGTTTGACAGGATATGTACATAAAAAGAAAATAATGAGAACTTAGAGAGGAACTTACTCCACCCAGAATCTGTTATCTTAATAACCCTGTATAAGGAATTGGTGATATAATTTCAAGTATGAGCAAGTGTATATTGAAAGGGCTAGCTGTATAAAGGCCACAACCTAGTAAGTGGCAGAAGATCTTCAAGTCTTTTTCTCTAAAGCTCTTCATAGACTACAAGATATTCAGCTGGAACTTCTAAAAGCTTACCTTTACATAGAGCTCAATAATTTTATTTTTATTTATTTTTTATTATTAGTTGTTCAAAACATTACAAAGCTCTTGACATATCATATTTCATACATTTGATTCAAGCAGATTATGAACTCACATTTTTGCCCCGTATACATATTGCAGATTCACATTGGTTACACATCCACTTTTTTACATACTGCCATACTAGTGCTGTTATATTCTGCTGCCCTTCCTATCCTCTACTATCCCTCCTCCCCTCCCCTCCCCACCCAATAATTTTAAATTAGAGAAACAAAGTCCCATATCCATGTAAAATATGTTGCAGGATAAATGTGGAAGGTTAGATTAAGCAAGAAGCTGAACCATAACATAAAACAAAACATGGTATGTGTTTTGTAGCTTAGAAGTCAGATGGTGTCTGTCCAGAAAAAAAAAAAAAAGTAGATGTGGATTTTATAAAACTAAAAAAGAGCCAGGTGTGGTGGCACATGCCTGTAATCCCAGTGGCACAGGAAGCTGAAGCAGGAGGATCGTGAGTTCTCAGCAATGGTGAGGCGCTAAACAACTCAGTGAGACCCTGCCTCTAAATAAAATACAAAATAGGGCTGGGGATGTGGCTCAGTGGTTGATTGCCCCTGAGTTCAATCCCCAGTGCCCCACCTCAAAAAAAAAAAACCTAAAAAAGAGTGCTAACTGGCTTCTATCATCCCAAGCCTCAGTTTCTTTGAGTATGAACCATATATGATAATAGTTAATGCATAGGATTACTGTAAAAACTAAAGAAAAACAATCTGGTCTTTCTTTAAAGAAACAAGTGCATCTTTAATTACATTATCATCTCATTAATTGCTTTTGCCACACAATCATGTGCTAACTTTTTATATATTACCAATAATCTTCACAATAATACTATAAATCCGTTGAATTATTCCCAATTTACAGCTGTGGAAAATAGGGTCAGGGAAGATTAAGGGGCATGCCTCCCACCACATTTCGTGTGTGACAGACACCCTACTATGGGACTCTGAGCTGAGGTTCTTAACCCTCACTGTTAAGCAAAAGAGTAGATTTTCCGGCAACAGTAGATTCACTATGTAGGGAACACAATTTTATGCACTTTCCTCTAAACTACATGCTTCCAAGAGCCAAAGCCAAAGTGATCTTGCACCCAACTTTGGAAAAGCCCAGGGACTTCTCAAGCTACAGAATATTCAGGTTGAAAAAGAGCATAGAGAGCAATGGATGTTTATCTATTCTCCCAGTTCTGCTGAAGAAACTGAAGTTCCAGGCCATGCCCCTTGTCTGAGTTCTATGCACACTCAGGTCACATCTAGAGCTGCACCCTAGGGCTCCTGACCCACAGTCTGGTGATTATCCTACCCATTTCAAACACTGGGTGGATTCATGAGGCTGAAAACATTGTTCTTCAAATAGGTTCTCATTCTTTGTGGGGTCTGTTATTATTAGGCAATTCCTTGGTTCTCAAGGAGAGTCCTACAATCTAATTGATAATCCCCTAAGGGAATTTAATTATACTTCTAAATGAACCCTGATCATCTGCTTTATGCCTGACTCTATGTGAGGCACATTGCAAATATCCTCCAAATTTTAATTATTTAAATATAACCTTCATGATTTTTGCCCAAAATACATTCCATCTACATAGTTATTAGTTGAATATTCATCTTTATATGATCTTTAAAGTTCCTATTACCTTAGCTTTATCGTGGGCTATAACACCAATAAAATAATGACATGCTAACTATTCTTTAAACTCACATTATATAGACAATTATTATCATTAAAAAATTGTCATTTAAGGCGCCTTTCTACTACTATCATTTAATTATTCTCAAAACTAAAGTACTAGGACAATCCCTGAATAGGGCATATTATATCCCAATATGTTCTTATTTTATCATAGTATATAAAAACCAAAATCTCAATTGAATAACTTAACCCAAGTCACACAGCAGGGAGGCAGATCTGCTAACACCTGATCTGAACCTGGCTGACTCCAGAACTTCTGCTCCACACCGTGCCACTTACTGACAGGCAGGACTGCTCAGCAGAGCAAGTGTGATCAGGTCAGAGCTTAAAGGTCCTACTCTAACACAGGCACAGGTTTATCAGCTGTATGACTGTGTATGGGGTGGATGGGTTTGGTGGGGCAAACTTATAAGGAATCAAGAGTGTACATCCCTTAAAATTTTTTATTGTGAAAAGCATCATATCTACAGAGAAGATGAACTAGTAATGCAGTTAACACTCCATAGTCTTCACCTATATTCACCAGTGGTTAACATTTACATTCATTTAACTCTCACTGTGTGTGTGCGTGTGCATGTTTGAACTATTTATAAATAGCTGCAGTTATTTCTGTCATCTCATTACTAAATATTTCAACAAGTACTAAAAACAAAGCCACCTTCCTACATGATTGCAATACTATTATCACCTCCAAGAATGTACTATTGACATGTTCATATTAACTAAGGTAGAGTCCATATTCAAAAATTTCCAGCTATCCCCATTTGTCCCACACAGCTGTTTTCTTCTTCCATGACCTAAGGTCACATGTCACATTTCATTGTCCGTTCTTCTTAGTCTCTTTTAACCTAAAACAGTCCTTCCACCTCTTTGGTCTTTCATGCACTGACATTTTTGAAAATTCTAGATCAGTTTTCATGGTTGTATTCAGGTGAATCTATCCTGTGTGGAGAGAGTCACATTCCTTCAGCAAGGTGGTTATGCAGAATTACTTGAAAAAAGTTATGCGGACTAGTCAGAAAACAGCAATGTCCTTAAAACCCCAGTGATTGAATAAGAAACTGTTTGTTTGCTTTTTTAAAGCGGTCAAATTAATGATCAATTGGCCAAGTAAAGGGAAATAGCCTTGATCTGTGGTAGCTTCACCCAACATCCCCAAACCCTCTTACTGACTTGAACAGATTCTCCTATTCATTTCCTCAAAGACAGATTCAAAGAGAACCTGGTGCTGCTTTACCTTATCTTCTGTCATTGTACTGGGCTGGAGTCCTCTTCTTAATTCCAGGTCCCGTGTTGAGTGTGTAGTGACAGCCCCTGCCTGAATGTCCAAGCTCTAGTTATACATTGTAGGAGGAGGAGCAAGGTGAGGGAGGAGCAGGGCTACCTCAAACCAAGAGTCCAAGTCTAATCTTCCCAACAGAGGCTGAATATTGATGGAAGCTAATCAATAAATCCTTTGCCTCAGCGACCTGGGGCAATACCTTTGTTCCATCAGGAAAGAAAATGGGCACAGATCTTTTTAGGAGTAAGTTACAAACCAGAGGTGATCACATGTGTTAAGTATGGCAATTATGGGGATCAGGAGGAAGGAGGAATCTGTGGGGTCTTGTGTAGAAGCTGGAATATGCTGGGCTGTCATGCTGTGTTATGGGGATGACAAAGACAGGGACATGGGAGGCAAATACACTCCTCTCTATGGAGAACCAGTACTGTGGAGTTTGGGCTGGGTGGCCAGAGGCTGTTACAGACTTAAACAGTACTTGAATGAGCTTCAGAGAGTAAAGGGCTTGGGTTTGAATCTCAACACTTTATTGATGGTGACCTTAAACAAGTGGCTTCTTGTGACTTTTCTGTATGTACCTTTAGTTTCTTTACCTGATAAAATGGAAATAACAGAACACACACTTTATTGGGGGGGTTAAATGAGATAATATATGAAAGTGTTTGGCACACGGTTTGGTTCAGCAAATGACAACAGTTGTTGTTATTACTATTATTATTATTACTGATTCAGTATATGTCAAGATGCATTTTCTGGAAGTGACAGTTCAGCATTCTCAAATAAATCTGCTCATGTATCTTTTCTTGGGTCTATGTCACAGAGGTATCCTCTGTGATATAAGCAGATACCGAAATAGATTAAGCTTTAACTGTGCAGGCAACTAGGGTCACTGGGGCTCAAATGAAACCAGTTTGCAGCAAAGGAAATATAACAGCAGCAAAAGAAGGGGCACTATGAAAAGCCAGGGACGAGAAAGTAAGGGGATAGAGAAAACTCAAGATGTCTTTTTTTCCCCCACATTTTTTCTTTTCTTTCACTTTTTCAAGGTGACACACACCTGCATGTTTAGTTTCTGAAGGTGAATAATTTTAAATTTAAACCACAATCTTTAATGGAGCCCAGCACAGCTCTGAAGTTGCATGACATAAATAAGCTGCAGCCTCCTCTGGCTCAGAGTTTATGATGGGTAAGGTCAGATGTATGTAAACACAAACACACAATATAATAATTTCTTAGTGGAAAAGCATGAACGCATGTAAACAGTAATGACAATCTTTATTGAGTTCTTGCTCTGTGCCAGGTGCTGCTCTCAGCACTGACGTGGACTAGTTTGTCTACTAGGAGGTCCTCTAGTTGGTAGAGCAAAGCTTTGACACAGCTTTCACAGCACTCAGGTAACGGCACTGACTTTCGTACCAGTTTCTCGGGTGATGCGCAGGCTTCAATGTCACAGCGGTCTGCAATCAGAAGAGGTTCTTCGGCAGTCGTTTTCCAGCGGCAAAATACCGCAAGAAAGAGGGTTGTGGGGTCGTAACAAATACAGTTATCCTCTGCTGTCTACCTACCTTAGTCTTTGGAACTCTCCTTTTAAGTTTGCCAGAGCGCAGCGCGAGGCAGATGAGCCCGTGACTTCCAGGGCTAAGTCCTTGCGGGCACCTCGGGGCTGCGCAGGGAAGTAGTCTCCTCTCTCATTGGCTGCGCCACCTGCCACTCATCTCGAGCCACACTGACCGGCTTCTTCTGGTTTAGTCCGGGCTTCTCTTGTTCTGCTCTTGCTCAGAAACGAGTAATGTCTGTAGTATTTACGGATGGTCTAAAACTATCTCCCGCGTAGAGGTCCAGGGATTAAGTCACACCCGTTCTGCTGACTGACTTGGCTCTGGGAGAACTGGTATTTGATTCCATTCCTGGAGAACTGGCCTTCGCACTCACCTTAGGAGCTGCAGGTCCTATCACGTTGGTGTTTCCAGTTTCTTGGCTGTGAGATAAAGTCAGGCTGTGGGTACTGAGCTGTCGTGATGGGGTCTACTCAGCGAGTGTCCAGAATCACCCAAGAGACCCGCGGGGCTGGGGAAATCAGTTCTTTTGACTTCACACTTTTAAATCTTTCAGATCACATCCAGACTATTTCATTGATTAACTTTAGCAGATGCCAAAAGTTCTAAGTGGTGACGGCCAGAGAGGAGAACCACCACACCGTTTCTCCCCATTGTTATCCTTCCTTTCAGTAAAATCAGAGTGGTTTCTTCGCTAAAATAGGAGGAAAGAAAATGAGCCTGCTGCATTCCTTTCTGATTGGGGGAAAGTGTGCCGTAAGGTAGAAAGGGTCTCTTTGGACCTAAATCAGTGAGTTTAAACTTGGCCAACCCAGGCATCATCCAAGAGAGTATCTGAAAGTCTGAGTCCCTGAAGAAAGTCAATGTATTTTTAAAATTTCTGACCCAAATTTGGCACTGTAGGGTACCAAAGAGCAAGGGTAAACTGTGCACATCCTTATCTGTCTCACCCTTTCCACAGATACCTCTCTGGTCCACACCATCAGCGTCTCTCCTCTGTGTCTGCACAGCTCCTCATTGGCCTCTTTGCTCCCACTCTTGCCCCACGGTAACTTCTTGGCACAGAAATCAAAATTGATATAAAAAGTTAAATCGGATCACAATGCCTCCTGTTTTAAAGTCTCTCCAGGCCTCCAGGTTGATCTTAGAAGGAAACCCACATTCCTTACTATGGCCCAAGAGGCTGATTTGATGTAGGTCCTGCCTAACCCTGAGACTGTCTTTCCTCCTCTGGGTCCACCCAAACTGACCTCTCATATGTCCTAGGTGCAGCATCCACCTATTGGAGGAGCCTTGCCTGGAGAGCCTGTCCCCATGCTTGAATCTCACTGGGATAGAGAAAACTCTCCAACACATCCCAGCCTGTCACTCACCTCTATTTTCTTCCTAGCACTTATGCTTGAGATTTTATTTCTAATTTGTCTACTTAGTATGTTTTCCACTCTCCCTACCAAATCTAAGTTCTAGGAATGTGGACACCTTGCCCATATCATTTTCTCTGTTGCCTATAATAGTGCCTAGTGCATAGTAGACACTCAGGAAGTATTTGTCTAATAAATGAAGTCCAAATGAATTGCCACTCCTACACTGGGAGCATCTGAAACTGTAATTGGGACTTTTTTTTTTTTTAATTCTGGTACCAAGGATTGAACCCAGGGGTGCTCAACTGCTGAGCCACACCTCCAGTCCTTTTTAATACTTAGAGACAGAATCTTACTAAGTTGCTTAGAGACTCACTAAATTGCTGAGGCTGCCTTTGAACTCCCCATCCTCTTGCCTCAGCCTTCTGAGCTGCTGGGATTACAGGTGTGTAAATTGGGACATTTATTGATTTAACATTCAATAAATGTAATATTTACAGAATATTTTGCCAGGCATCAGTCTCGGCTCTTGTGGGCTGACATTCTATGAAATAAGCAAAAAGAATGCTGAGGAAGAGAACAATAATAGGATATGCCCACTTTAGAAAAGATACCCAGGGACACATTCTCTATAGAAGTGACTTTTTCATTGAGGCCTGAAGAATGGGCAGGCAGGATGCAGAGGGAAACTATGTATGGATTTTGAGAAAGGAAGAGTCTTACATTGAAAAAGAGAAATTTGGTGAAACTAGAGGAGCAAGAGAAAGCAGAAAGGGATAGCATCAGCGAGATAGACAGCAGCCATGGTCATTCCGGCCATGGAAATGAGTTGAAATCCATCTGAGGAGCACAGGGAAATCACTGGAGGGGTTAAGTAAGGGAGTGATGATTCAATATATGTTTTAAGATTACTTCTGCTGTTGAGTAAGGAATGGGTTGGATCCAGGAAAGAGGAGAGGAAAAATTGCAAAGCTGTGGCCACAGTTCATGCTTGCTAGTGACCACTGGTGGTGGTAGAGAAAGAGAGGTCATAAATTCATGATATGTTCTGGTGAGTAAAACAGATGGTTCATATACATAATTATTTTTTGGAAAGGAAGAAATGCGAGAACTCAAGATGACAGGTTGTTTTCTTGCTCATTCAACTGAGATAACGCTGAAACCATTTAATATTATAGGTGATTGTTTAATCATCTGAGTAGTAACCCAGGTTTATCCCCCATACCTCATGTAGATCACAATATAATAATCAGATAAAATTTGTTCCACTTGTAAAAAAATTAAAAATTTTGAGGTAATTGTAGATTCACATGCAGTAAGAAGTAACACAGCTCAGTACACTTTAGCCTATTTCCCCCAGTGGTAACACTTTGCAAGACTATGGTACAATGTTACAATCAGGATATTAATTTCAGTAGTATTAGATACAGAAAATTCTGTTGGCACAAGAATCCTCATGTTGTCCTACTATAACCACAACTATTTTCTTACCCTCAAGGACACAAATTCTGGCAATCGCTAACTCTTTTCCCTTTCCTTAGTTCTGTCATTTCAAGCAAGCTATCAAAATGGAATCATATAAGGTGTTTATCAGTCATGGTTCTCTGGAGAAATAGAACCAATAGGATGTGTGTATACAGGAAGATATTTATTTTAAATAATTGACTCACATGATTATGAAGGCTTGGTGAGTCCCAAATCGGATGGGAGAGGCTGGCAAGCTGGAGACTCAAGGAAGACTTGGATTTGAGTCCAAAGGCAGGATGCTGGAAAATCAAGAAGAGGAGATATTGCAGATATAGTCCAAAGACAGTCTCTGGAGAATTCCCTCTTGCTCAAGGGGCGTGGGGGTAGGGTGGGGTGGGGGTCAACTTTTTGGTCTATCAGGTCTTCAATTGATTAGATGAAGTCCCTTATAGAGGACAATGCTTTACTCTGAGTCTACCAATTTAAATGTCTTATTTAAAAAATCTTCACAGAAGCATCCAGAATAATTTTTAATCAAATATCTGGACACTTATGGCCCAGGCAAATTGACATGTAAAATTAACTATTACAGAAAGTAACCTTTGAGATTGTCTGTTTTCACTCAGCAGA